CTGTAGGCTTAGCTTCCCTCAGAGGCAAAGATGGAGAAACTTGAAGCATCTCAACCCCAATCAAGCTTTAGTATTAGCTAAGTGCTAAGCTGTTCAGGACTGTAAAACTGTGGCACTTTGGGGCCCATAAGGTCACAAACTGCAAGCCCTATGAAGGGTAGATAACTCAAAGACCAGAGGACACGTGAGGCAATTTTGTTCTTCTTCCCTTACATTCCACCAAACTGTCCGCACTGGACAGTTAATCCTTAAATCCTGTTTTGGATCTGGTCCACGGGCTCTGGCCTAATACCAGGTTTCACTAAACAGTTTATTCTTGTTTTTAAGCCTACTGCAGAAATCAAAGAATTTCAGGTAAGATAAATTAGCTGCTCCAGCAGGGTGCCATGGCAGTTATCTTCATTCACAACAATGCCACGTATACATGGCAAACAGCCAGCTGCTCTTGGTGTACTTACGAATGCCAAGAAAATTTGGCCTTTAATAAGCTGCCTAATTAACTACTAGTCTTATGACGTACAGCTTAGTTTTCCTAAGTCATTCCTTTGCCAAAGCTTAACATCTATGGCCTCCTGTGTAGCAAATGCATTTCCTAGTCATTCTTCTATTTTGAAACTACTGTAATGCAGATCAAGGGCCAGAGTCTGCACTCCTTCTTCAGAAATATCAAGAAACACTTACTCTTCAAAGCTTCTGCCACTGTTTGGAGGCAATTACATGAGTGTACAGATCTGAGTAAGCAATTAACTTTTTAAGTAGAAGCCACACACCAGAGCGAAATAATCATTGGAAACTGATTTTAAGTATCATGTGAGTCCCCGCCTTCTTAGTGCTTTAGCTGGAGTATGAAAAGTTCAGGAGACCCACACAGATTTTTTAGATTGCATCATTACATCAGGGCCTGTTTTTAACAAAATTATTTTCAAGGGAAATAAAAACTTGTAATGTACTCCCAGAAACTTTACTTCATAAAAGTTTGAGACTGCTTTCCAAGACTGCCCAGGAAAACTAAAAATATGGCTATTGATGCTGGTAACAAATAATCCATGGCCAGTACAGCTACGGGAGGTTTAAGTCAAAAGAAATTTTGCTGTAAAGATTTAAATCAGTGGAAGTGTAAACAGGCGTGAGTTTCAATAACGTCACTCAAAATCACGCTGTTGGGAAGGATGATGTAGCTAGGGAATGGTGAGTTGACCCGACAGCAAATTTTTCAGAATATTTGTCTCAGAGACGCCACTTGATAGGCTTCAATTATGGATATAGTATATACTATGTGATGCTATGAATAGAAATATATTAAAGTTAAAATCATGCAGAGGCAAGAGAAATAAAGAATAAATGAGACCATGAGTTGAGCACATAATGGAGCTGAGTCTTCAGAAATCTGCCTAAGTGGTTATTGACAATGTCAGCATTAGCTTAAAAAAAGCATCCTCATGCAGTCACTGAGGACTGGGGTCTGCAATGAAAACCAGAAGGCTCAGCACATGCTCTCTGTTCAAAGCGCAGCCAACACATGCCCTGCTCTAGCAGCAGACGGGCAACCCATAGACATCCCTCCCCAATAACAGCTTCATACAAAGAAGCTAATGCCAGAAAATATTTCCTGTCCTTGTTTCCAAGATCCTTTACAAGCCTCCTCCACCGCTGCCCAGCTGGGATTCGGTAGGCGGCTGCAGGGCTCCCCACACCGCCTGGCTCAGACTGCTGGGGAGGCAGCGTGGATGTGGTCATGGAGCTGGCTGAAGGGAATGCGGCTTTACTGAATCACTGCCCACCGCTTTCTGACCACAGTGCGGTCGCTCTCCTCTCTTCTCCTTCACGGGGATCATTGGTCCCACACCATCTGAGGACAGCTGTTTCCCAGCTGTCTGTGGGGTGTGGGAGGAGCTAGACAATTTTACAGATAAGCAATTTTCAGAATCACTTATTTTCTCCTGTGGGATTTCCTAGGAGCAACTTTTAACTAATGCAGCCCTTCAAGAAATTCATTTTATCTGACCCGAAGTTAAGGTATTTCATAAAGAAAGCCTGCTTTGTTTTGTCTAGACAACTGTTATGCAAATGAGCACTGCCTTGAAAGTTACTAGTGGGATGCTGAGATACGTGGATATGTGTCACACTCTGGGAAATTACGGAAACGGAGGAACAGCGGTTTGATGAAGTGACTGGATTTCTGAGAAAAACCCAGGCATGCCGTGTGGTGCGATGTCAGTAACATGTAACATGAAATGTAACCAAACATTGCTACGTCCGTTAGTGCTTGCATACGTACATTGCTATTTTTGTGATGTCTAATGAAGGTGGTATAATGCAATCGTGTGCATAGCTTTCAAAATTTTGAGGGCTGCTTATGGTTAACATCCCTGCCATAATCTTCCATACTCCACACATCCCATCAGAAGTAACTCTAAGGAAGTTTATGAGATTGCCTGCTTAGAACAATTGTATTCTTTTAATTATACTTGTGTCATCAAATCCGGAGAATCATTGTGAGGTCTGGTTGCATCTGCTGGTATAGCTTCATAGCCATATCACTGGCATAGCTTCTTTTTGTGTGCAAATGGAAATAAATCATACACTGGCATAAGACATTTGTGTGCTGATATAATTGTGCCCGCACTGGAAGCAGTACTGATGTAAGTATCTACGTAATAATGACACCTAAATACAAGAAAAGACCAAATGACACAGAATCTGCCTGCAGAGACAAGGCCTGAATTAATGCATTTTATACTATTATTGGCACTGTCAACCTGAGAGTAATTTAGACCTCCTCCAGTAAGCTGCTTTCTGTCTGATCTATGTGCTTTTTGGTACTTGTGTAAGAATTCCAGTTCAACTGCTTGTGTGGATTCAGTTCAAATTGCACTAGTATGAAGGTATCTTACTTCCTATACAGCTTACACTCATTTATTTAGACCAATTATATCACCATGAAAAGTTATTTTTATTGGTACTATGCACATGCATTTTTTCTGAGTTTTGTTACTCATGCTGCTGTAGGTAAACCACTTACAGTTACATTTACATAGAGTTTACTCTATGTAAAATGCACCCTCAGACTGAGAGGGCGAGATTCAGAAGTGATACATAAAGGCCTAAATGGATATGAACCCAAGCAGAAGTGATAGGAGTTTAAGGATTATATCTTCCTTGTTGAATATGCCCCAGATGTTTGATGCTATAGTAACATGACCTCACTTAGGGCCTCCTCCAACATTGGTCCAGAGATGCTGAAAATGATAATGAAGTTTATCTGCCTAAATAAAACCAGAAAAAAATTGCCTTTCTTTTAAAGTACTTGAAAATGGGCATCCTTATTCTGTACCTTCCCATAACCCATGCAGTGCCAGAAGCAAAGTCTGGGGAGCTAATTGGATGTCAGGGGTAGGAGCCAGTGGGTTAGAGAGAAAATTGTCTGCATATTATCTGCATTGCTACAGAATGGAAGTTTTTCTTAAACCATGCATTATACCTGTGAAAATTTGGGAATTGAAATACTTCTGAACTTTATTCCTTCTCTTCTTGTGAGGCTGTTTTGTTCATTGGTACTGCGGCATTTAAATCTTGACATTAAGTAGCGCCAAGAGTCCACTTAACGAAAAGAGTTCCCAGACACCTGGAAGCCAGAACTGATCCCGAAATTCTCACTCCGTATATGTAATACTGCTATGTAATTTTAGCTTGAAAAATTCTTTATTTCATCTTGGGGGGAAAAAAATACACTTTTTTTTTGGTAAAGAGATGCTCTGTCACAGTTTCTGTGAACTCAGTGTGTTTTTCTTTGACTTCAGTGGGATTTGAATCCTGTGTATTTTCAAGTTTGCCTAAATTTGAAACTATCATAATCAGTGAACATTGTTGACCTGAAGCCTCATAAAGGACATCTGTTATTCAGATGGCTTAATTGTGAAAGACTTCATAAAAGAAAGTCATTATAAAAGGAGATCAGAATGGAAGAAGAGAGTCTTAAAAATGAAGGGGGAAAAAGATACTCTTTGATCATTTTGATAATAACATTTGATAATACTGTCATGCCTTGAAAACGACAATTTCATTCAACCACAATGAAATGTTGAAGTGTTCAAAATAACATGGTACCTACTTTTCCTTCTCAACCAAAAAAGCATATATATGTACATTCAGACTAGTATTCTTCCCTCTGCTTCAGCAGAAGCACTGAAAAGTTGCTGCTGATGATTAAAACACTATGTCTGATCAAAGCTGCCTTCATCATTAGCATTAGCATTAGCATCATTATCATCCTGGAATGGAAAGAAAAAACCTAATGCTACCTGCATGGTTTTTGGAGACACCCCATACCTACAAGTAGGAAATGTGATCAAGTTGTTGCGCTAGTAAGACTAGGAATCAAGGGATTTTTACACTCTGCCATATCACTGACTCTTTAAGCAATCTCTGAGAATTGCTTAAATACTTGGTATATTGGGTAATACATTATTAATCATTGTACTGCTTGACAGATGTGACATGAGGTTTAATATATAACAATCTAATTTCTTTAAGTGCAAGTATAAGACTTGCCTTGGGAAAAGAATGGTGATCTCTGGTTCAAGGACTGATCAGGAACCTGAAGCATTCTCTCTGTGCCTTGGTTCACCTTCTGTAAATAAAGAGAATATTCTATTTTTATTGTCAATGAAGAAATGCTTCTACAGCATGTATTTTGAATACCTCAATGCAAGTTTGAGCGTCTGTATGCAGTGCAGAAATACAAATTTAACTAACAATCATCAATTACAGAACGTATCCAAATCCCCTTAAAGTCAATGAAAATACTCCCACTGACTTTACCAGGGGTGGGATTGGGTCATCGTGCTTTTAAACTGCATTGACATCTTTAGATGGAAGCTTATATTGATGTTTTTATCCAGGTTCTGCTGTTTGCAAAGGGCTGGTGACTTTAACCTGTTGTTACCTACGGGTGTAAAAATTTATTTTAATGATTTTTTTTTTTTTCCCTTCCTGGGCAGGATTTATGTGGGCACCATTCATGTGATACTCTGGGAATGGCAGACGTTGGGACCATATGCTCTCCTGAGCGCAGCTGTGCAGTGATTGAAGATGACGGCCTCCATGCAGCTTTTACAGTGGCTCACGAAATTGGTATGCAGTGCCTTTTCTGTTCGCTTGCCAAATCAAACACTTGTAACAGCTGCATTAGTAACCAAAATACTTTGCAATTAATTCCAGATTTCCCCTGGTCCAGATACTCACTTGGGGATTAAGGCTGTATACATATGCACTTCAGGGTTAACTAATAAGGGATCAGAAGGCAAGTGAAGGCGCACAGTAGGTGTTTCCTTTCTGACAGTGTTGTTTCTAAGCAGTAGTTGAAGTGAAAATTCAAAGGCTGCTGCTACTGTCCAAAGATGTCAATACGTGTCCCTCCTGAGGAAGCATTTGGCCCGTCTATTGTAATTCGCATGCATTTAGTGCATGCACAGTGGAAAATAACTCACCTTTTTGAACTACTTGCATGCTCTACTGTTACGAAACTTTTTTCTTGGGACAATGTGTTACCTGCAGAGGAGGGCTTTTGTGGAAAAAACAGAATTCTAATCTTTTTCTAAAGGTATGGAAATTCCACCTTTATGGTAAAATACGGTACTAATGTGAATCCTGAAATAAGTGAAATAGTATTTAGGTGATAAAGGTTTGGTCAAAAAAGCTGTTTAACTTTGTTTCAGTTGTCACCTCAGCGGACAGCAGTTTAATGTAGGAGCCTTACATGCACCCTTCAGAAGGATTTAACGTAGAATTAGTGACAGAAGAAAGTTCATATTCTGGGATATTGCGTCTGTCATGATACATTCCTTCAGAGAGACTGCTGCCATCTTGATTATTTTTAATTTACTAATGCTTTGTGAGCTGTGTTCACTGGAAATACATTTGGTGTGAGGGCTATTCCCTTTGGTGAGTGAACAGCAATTTAAAAGTGGAGATCATTCTTTTTTTAACATTCTTGGAAGGAAATAACAGGGAAAGGAGGACTTTCAGAGAGAGCCAATTTCTGAATTGCCTTGTACCTCATGCCAAACCAAAGTAAAGTTTGCTTTGGGAATATCATTGCAGTAGTTCAATTTTCAAGTAGCTAGCAGGTAGAGCCCAAGAGCTGTGTGCCTTATATATACATCTGGCTCAGCAACTGGAGGTCACCAAGTATGAAAAAGCAGCTGGCATGTCACTGAGCTGACCCTTCAACGATTAGTGAACCTAACCCTACTGCTTTTATGGTGCTACAAAGAAATGAAGTAGTAGTGGCTGGAGAGGGATCATGTGGTGCATGAAAACATAAAATGTGGCACAATGAGTCCCCAAAACAGAAATTTTATTTTAATAAACAAGAATATAATTATAAAAGAAAAAGCCCTCAGAAATCACTAATTCAGAGCATTTGCAGATAAGTACAACAATACATCAAATACCACTTCATATCAGGTGAGTTTAGTGGCATCAAACCTGGATGCTGTGAAGCTAATGACCCATCGCAAACCTGGTCTAGAACTGGGACAAGTAGATAGATTGGCAAACTTAGCCTATCACTCCAAGGCCAGTCTGCTAGAGGCACTGCTTGTATTTTCTTGCATCCAGAAGTGATGCTTACTGCTGAAGGTTAGTGGGCATTGGCGAGGTTGGATGAGGGACCTTCTTGTGATGCCAGTGTTGATATATCTGGTGTGTGAAGAGGTGAGTAATGTGTCTCGACTACCATTTTATCAGCAATAAATACATGTTTAGATAGATTAAAAATGAAAGAACATAGATCAATAAAGATAGGGATGAGCGGTAAATATACATATCATTACCTTGAATTCCACACAAAGAAAATGTAAACAAAAGTGAATTATTTTTAGTGATCTAGAAGCACATTTTTGAAAAAGAGCCATTTTCATACCTAGACATTTACAGGAATCTGTAAAAGCTATAATTTTCAATGTAAAAAAGGCATGAATTGAAACGAATAAATAAGTACCCTAATGGACAAAAAAACTCTAGTTTGAGGTTGTTTAAAACAACATCCCCTTTTTTTTCTCCTCACCATAAGATTTTAAGAAAGGAGGGGTGTCAAGTCACAGAATGATCTTTGTGTGTGTGGCCTGAAGTGGGAGAAGTTGAGAAGAAAACACAGCTAAAATTGCTTGAGTACTTACATTAAATTAAAGGTCAAAAAAGGATGAAAAATAAAAGTGTGGCATGGATACCCTTTAGTTAAGCACTTCGGGGAAAACCTTGCTTTATTTTATTTGGAGACCAGCTTTCTTCCTACAATTCAGAAGTCTTAAAGTTCCCCCTGTCCTGTGGGTAGGGTGTAGCTTTAATTTTACAGCAGCTTAGTTACTTGCTGGCATTTACCTGGCAGCATAGGAGATGCCCTGCAAGACAGAGGGGATGCTAAGGCCTCTAAGCCTAAGATACTCCTTTCTGTCAGTAGGAAGAGCAAGGTGAGCCACTAAGTGAATCAGAGTCACCGTCTGCAGTTTTTTAAACAACACTGCTGCGTGTGCATGTGCAGCAGATGCAGCATCATTAACACGGACTTGAGCTGGAGAATGGCTGTGTGTCCTCACTTTGACTTCCAAGGGGATCTGAATGCTCTTGTTTCCTCTCTGAAGGTTCCAAAAGCATTTTTGAGGAGCAGATTCTTTCTCTGGAAGGCAACCAAAGTAAATGGAACTGCAGCTCGACCAAACAGGACGATGCACAGCCCAGGGGCTCAGGTTGGATACGTGCTTAGGAAGCCAAAAAGCAGCCTGCTACAGAATAAAGCCTGCTGCTTCTGTTGCCAGGGTTTCTACTACATTATGTGTTAGATGTTTATTTTATTTCTTTCAGATAAAATAGATGGATTTTGACCAGTGGTTTTTAAGGGGGAGAGTATGAATGAGCAGCAATAACAGGCAAAATCTCCAGAGAGCTGTAAACAAGAGCACAGAAAGAAAGAGATGCAACCAAATTCTTAGTACCACTGATTAGCTGACAATAACAGGTGGAGATCCATATATAAAGATGGACAAGGTAGGACCTGAATCTTGTCCTACTTATATGTAGGAAAATCAGGAATAATTTGTCTCCAATGTCAAATGCAGAAAATGGGGATAATGCAACAAAGAACAGGAGGAAACCTTGTGACTTTGAACATGATAATCCAGTTTGTCCTCAGAATAAAGGGAAGAGGTGCTAATAGCATAAATGTTATTTTTAAATCATAGCCTGTCAAGACACCCAGCCACTAATGGTAAATCCATATACGGTTATTTTCTAGCAAGGGGACATGCTGCTCTCAGTTTGGACAGCAGTAGCTTTGCTGTCACAAAAATAGTCTTCTGGATTCTTGCCTGAAATCATCAATTCAGCTCCATGTTGTGGCATATGGATGTCTTTTTTGACTTTAAGCAACTCCTTCAGCTATGCCTCCATAGCTTTGCAGGGATATCTGAGCTAGCTTAGGCACAGTATGTAGACATTCTCCAAGTCTTTGTTATCATCAGCCTATTGTCTGTAAAAAAAATGATATTTCCTTATTTCATGCACTTCCCTGCTTCACAGAGACATCTGGAGAAAAGCATTAAAGAACCTACGATTGCTCATAACCTCAAAATTTATTTAATGTTTTTCATAGGTCAGCACTTGCATATTGCTTCTCCATATATCCCTTATTAAAATAGCCATCAGGAAACAAAAATAACTAGATTCTGACTCTAATACTCTGGACTTTTGGGTTGGAGATTTGTTGCTTTTACAGGGTTGAATTATAAGCCAGCCTGTGCATCCCCTGAAGATAAGCATCATCCAACATCACCAACAGACACAGTCAATCAATTTGAAGTTACGTTTAACATCTCTTGCGATGGGATATGTCCAATAGATGACAATTCCTTCTTTAGTAGACTGGTGTTGCATTTTGTGATGCAGTCATGGTCAGAAGTTTCTGCTGACTTTGGCTTCTCCTATGCTGGAGTCCCGCATGCTTTGGTACAGACAGCCCACCATCCTAAAAGGTTTATCATCTACAAAAACAAAATGAGAAGAGTTCAAGAGAAAATAAGTGGAGCTACTGCTCATTTTATCAGTAGGTAATTTCCCAAAATCACAAAGGAAGTCTCAAGGAAAGCCAAGGATTAAACTTCTCTCTTGAGTTTCAATCTAGTCCTTAAATGCTGAAGCGTCCTTCCTGCAGTCTTTAAGCAGGCAAAGCTCCAGTTTAGTTCAATGAGAGTTACATGGGTCTAGTAACTTAAATTATATGTATCTTTATTCTTTCCATCAATCTTGAAGAACTTTTCTATTTTCTTTTTTTTTTTTTTTGAGAGGAGATACAGAGAGAGCACTGCCTTTTTGCTCAGTGGTAATGTTCATTTGACCTTTTGCAAAGTTTCTATTTCTCTGTTATGCAACCATGCTGGCATGCTATTACTCCTTCTATCCTCCTGAGTAATATGGTTTACTGATGTTCTTTCCAAGTATTTTATTTTTAGAATATAGCTTTAAAATTGCTACATGGAACTAATTAAACCTCTGTTCATTAGTTTTCTTTTATCTTTTACATGTGACTTTAGAGAAGGGAAGGCCAAAGGGGGGCATAGAAGCAGTCTTCAAATATATTAAAAAAAATCATTGCGAAAATTTACGTAATAAATCATTCTCCATGTCCACCTGGGACAGCACAAGGGGTAATGGTCTTAAATTGCAGCAAGGGAGATTTACTTTAAGCATTAGCCAAAATCATCTAACCAGAAGGACAGTTAAGGGCAAGAATGAATTGCTTGGGGAGGCTGTGAAATCTCCGTTACTGGAGGTTCACAGGAGCTGGCTGGCTAAAACAGCTGTGGCTTAGGGGATGCTGATCCTACCCTAGGGTGGAGGGATGCACGAGATGGCTTTTCAGGATCTCCTCTCAGCCTCATTTTCTATGGTTATGTGAAGTTATCACAACTTCCTCCACAGCTATACTGTGTAACATCTAAAATGAAGGAACTGTACAGAAACTAAAATTAGAAAATAACGTGTTTAATACCGAATCTTTTTCAGCATGCCGTCATTCTGTGGCATCTGCCACCACTGAGGACAGAAATATCACGAGCGCGGTCAGCAAAGTGTAGTGC